TTTTTTTATGGGAAAAAGTCCACTTTTTCAAAAAAAAAGAACCCCCCTTTTGAAATTGCTGGCTACGGGCCTGGGTTCATCATATGTAGGCCTAATAACCTTCTAAATTCCAGCGCTGACAGGTATATGGCGTTTCGAATTACAGTGAGCATGTACATGTGTAGACTATCCTACTCTCAGATTTAAGATGCTCTGCGTATTCGAACGTACACCACCGCTTGGCAGCGTAATCAAAACGTAGGCCTATACGACGGACGCCTAAGAACCGTAACAGGCGTGTGTGAAGGCCTACATGTACAGTATGCGTGTGTAGGCCAACATGTACTGTAGCTTATGTGCAGGCCTACGTGTAGGCTACTCGAGGGTTACATCACTATACGTCCCCGGACCGATACTCCCCCGCACCGGTACGTCCCCGCACCAATACTCCCCCGTACCGATACTCCCTAACACCGATACTCCCCCGCAGTAGGCCCTATCGATGCGGGGAGGCAATGATGTGGGGGAGTATCGGTGTGGGGGAGTAACGGTGCGCCTACATCGGCAATTTTACTGGGGATGTAGGCCTATCGATGCGGGGATCTATCGGTGTGGGGTCGTATGGATGCGCATTATACACACAAATTTACTAAGAGGGATAATTGGTGCGGGGGAGTATCGGTGCTGGGAAGTAACGGCACAGGGTCTATCGACATGACCCCTACTCAAGCGCGTAATGAATGACAGCTAGCATTAAAGATTGAACTATTCTTCTTTAAGAAAAATGCTAAAATGTTCTTGTTGAGTTACACCACGGGAATATTTCATTTGGTGTGGACTTTTTAAAATCTATTTATGTATTTTCATTTCTACTATAGGGGCCTAGAGAAACAGCTCCCTTGGCCTACTAGAGTAAAAAAATATGGCCTCAAGTTCACTAACTGGAGTGGTAAGAAAACTTGAAAATCGACCTAAAGATGTTTTGGTTCAGTTGAACATTTTGCAGTCAGAAAAGCTTCAGAATTTGTCCATGTCGTACCTCCGAAGCGAAGACAAACGCAAAATGTTCGAAGACAGCTGGTTGCACGGCAGACACGTGATCGCAAAATGCCAGGATGTAGACGGTGTCCTGAAAGTCCACCAGGTGTTCACAATTCTAGAGGGCGCTGTATGTAAAATGACGAACAATCCCAAAGATGTGGAAGTTTTGATTGAAGTCCAGAATGATGACGGTGGTCATGAAACACGCCGTGCCTATCTGCCTTATCTAAGGTCCGAAAAGTGGAGAGTTCTTCTTGAAGAAAGTTGGGACAGGCGAAAACAGGTCCGAGTAACTGTTGACGAAGATGAGAAAATGACCGATGTTTCTCTAGTAGAAAGACATTAGGACCTACCTGTTTCTTTGACACAACGTACTAATAGATTATGATTACAAAATGATAAAACGAAGAAGAGAATAAGTATAACAAAAGAAGCATTGCGTTATTTGAAATAAATTAAATCATGATTAAACAATGTACTGGTAGGATAAGTGTACACTGTGGCGGGGTATTCAAAATTCTGAATTTACAGTTTCTGTTTCACCCACTTTTCTAATTAAATTGAAAGACTTTAGACTATCAAAATGCTAACATTATTTTTCATATGTTTTGGAATTTTAATTAATTTTAATTTTAATTAATAGTTTAAACTATAATTACGACACTTAGGCCTATATGTGTAAGAGATACATTAGTACCGGTGAAATATTAATGAATCGGTTTGAAAAGTTAAAATAATCAACGCTTTCTTAAAAATATATTTAAATGAAATAATATTGTATGCCATAGTTTATTTATATATATTGAGTTTATATTTTTGTTCAGTGTATTATTGAGAAGAAAGGGTGGAAACATTGAAAAAACTGCATGGCCATTTCATATCATTTCTGATTATAAATCTACAACGATATGCAGGGCTCCGTAACTCGAAAGCATCGCGCATTGCGACCGAGCGGAAGCGTCTCGATTCCATAACTCGCCCATACTCGCCCCATATAGGCCTAATACATTGTAGCCTCTTTGTCGCAATGCGCGATGCTTACGAGTTACGGGGCCAGATCTTCCAATTGCAGCTGAGGCGTCATCTTCTTTGTCAATCTTTGGGGGAAAACTGCTCAGATAAAAGCATGTAGTTGACCATATAAGGGTAGTGACCTATATGCAGCCGTTTCATATTGGGTGGGACGGTGTCTGGATTTAATTTTCTTCTGGTGCCTATTTTCAAATATGTCCATGCTAAATGAGTAGGGCCTACTTTTTTTTTCTTTAGCAAATTGTAAATGCAGTTTCACCCGTTAAATAATGGCGGGTGTTAAATAGAAAAGGCGCCCACTTTTTGCCTCTCCCTGCTGCTGCCCCTCCCCCATGCTTCTAAATGAACTCACACTTTAGAAAGAGATGTCACCTCTTTAGTACGGAGTGAGCAGGGAACGACGGCGAAACTGTTTGGATATAAGTATCCTAATATATCAATTCAGTTACTTTAATATAACGTTCAGAATATCGCTCTTAGGTAATTAGTAATGATTAAATGTTTGTGCTTTATTTGAAGCTATTTTTACGCACGAATGCTTAAAACTGACGACGGTCTTTTCCCCCAGGTAAAATGTCGTGTGCTCCACATCTTACTATGTTTTTCGAGCAATGAAACAGAAAAGTAAAAGTGTATAGTTGAATCTTATTTGAACATTTTGAGTTTCTGGGTAGCACATTCAACTGAGAGTCAAAGTTTTATTTGAAACATTGCCAAGCAGGAGAAAATGCTGTGAAATGACCCGTTTGAAACCCAGCTGTCGATAAAAAGTTGACAATTTGTAGTTGATTTAAAGAACACAATTAATTTGTAGAAAATTGATGTACTTCTTGTCGCATTTTAGCACGACTTGATAAATAATGATGTCAAACTGCTGTTCATTAAGCTGTGAGCTGATTCATAGCTATATTGGTTTATCATGAGACAGAGCGTTAGACCAAAATTTGGTGACTTAAGGCCACTTAAAGGGCACGTTAGGCATTTTCCGTTGGTGCCAAATGTCAATATCACGCTTCCCATTTAAAGCGCTCACAGCAAACCAATATTTTCCATGTGATTTTTTTTATTTATATAACATAAGATTTTAAAACCTCTTACATCTTGTAAAATTTTATGAATTTCAAATCTAGTTTTTTAGGTTTGCGTGAAGTCCACATTTTTTGGCTTTGAATATATTGTTATCAAACTTTCCAATTTGCCACCGTGACATTGTATAAACTAAGTATTTAAGAGTATTTTTCGGAAGAGCACCAATTAGTGATGTGTATTCGCTTGGGGTAGTCGAAAATTGTCCAAGCTTGGCATATTTTTTTCAACATGGATCAAAAGTGGCTATCTAGAAAGATAACTTTGAAGTTGTAACAGTTAAGGAAGACATTCGTGCGATTCTTGAAACACAAGCACAAAGCAGTTCAAAGTGTTCACTTCTTTGTCAAATGATCCTCAGATCGTTTTATGCGACGGGGAAAATACTTTATATTGATAAAGAAGTAAACTCGAGTCGTTGTTCTGATAAGTGACATATTTTGGCATAATTATTCATAATAATGCAATTTCCATCCCTCGTGAAATCTAATACTTATATCTCATAGCATGCATTTATATATGAGTACGTCTATCTTCAAATGTGTCAATATTTAAAAACCTGAATTAATTCCGCCTCTAACAAAAACGTACGGCTTTGATTTAACGTGCATTTCCTATCAATAATCCCATCAAAACCGATAGTTTTTCACACATTTTTATTATCTACGAATATAACTGGTTTTTTTTTCTCAGTGTACAGTCGGGCAAGTGTAGACGTCATTTATGCTTGAAACGCCTCTTTGCTGAGGCGAAATCAATTGATTCGTTTTCTTTTTATGTTTCAATCTATTTTAGAATCATTCATAATTACTTTAGAGTGTGGCAATTTCTTTAACCTTTTCGAATTCAGATGAAAAGATTTATCATATGCAATCCATTTAGTTAATGTTACAGTACTGCAAATCACAGACGTCAAAATTTTTGAAATTTGGAAAAGGTTTTCAAATAGGGCTTTTGGGGAAATCCTCAAAAGTAACTTCCGTGTACCACCGATATACATGTATTATCATTTTAATGATTCTCATGTATGTGCAAGCAGGGGCGGTTCCAGGATTATTTAAAGGGGGGTCCGGAACGACAGGCCTCGGATGTGAAGCCAACCATCGCGCCCTATACGTGGGGTTCGGGACCTGCTAAACTGCCGTGATAAATTTTTGGTGTTTTGGAAGGCAAACGGCGCCCTTTCGTGCGATTTAGAACTATAATTTAGTTAACCAAAATTCTAATTTCAAGAGGGGAATATTGGTGGGATATATTTTTCAGAAATTAACCAAACGGGTGTGTGTGTGTGTGTGTGTGTGGGGGGGGGGGGGGGGGGGTGTCAGGACCTGCATTTTTACCTTTGGTTGTAATTTTAAATGAAAGATTATCATTTCCAAGATTTGTGACATCATCATTTACACATACAACACTGACGGAGCTCAACTGTGTTGACATTGAAAACGCAAACAAAATTTCGGGCCTAAATAATTAAATCACTTTTCTTCACACTCCGCAAACTTTTACAAAAATTAATCAGGTTTCTACATGTTAATATGAAAAAAAAAATGAATAATAAGAATGGAGTGTGATTCTATTTCTGCAAATTCTGGAAAAATAATGATGCATAATCGCTTACTTTTCAACCTATCAGTTTCGGCATAGTTTCAGAAACATTCCCCCTTACCAGCAATAAAAACAAACTGTTTATTCAAACTTTTAAAAATAAGTGTTATTTTATCAGCATGATACAATAAACGTTTGAATATAGATAGTTTTTGTAAAAAAGATTCATGGCAAACTAATAAACAGAATGTAAACAGCAATCTTAAATTACTTCCATACAATTGAATATCACCAATTCTTTTTTTATTCCACTAAAAGAGAACAAATCTAAAATCATGCCTAATACTACTTAAATATCTTCAACATGCTTGGTTGTAATTAAATAACAATTAAATAACATACTTGCAAGTCATTATTAAACAAAGTCAATCTGTTTCGAAAACACCTTCCCTTAAAAGGATACAAGTACTTTTTATCTGTCAGGTTATATGAAAAATATGTGAATACAAATAATTTACCAAGATAGAAAGGCAGGATACATCTTACTATACATGAGATTTACAATCAAAATATGGTACAATGCCCTTCACCAAGCCTTAGACAAGACATTCTTTTCAATGGTCCATGACTTCATTTTGGTATACTTAACTAACAAAGGCTTTATGTTAACAAGTGAGTTTAGGAGGGGTGAGATTTTTTGAATGACTATTAAAAAATCACTAAATATTTTTATTCTGTACTGTTACAGTAAGTATATAATGATACACTAATACATGTTTTATTTCCTTATCTATTTATTTTCTTATTCTTTTTTCACACAAAAATGCTGTTTCTCCATCTTAAACTCAAAAGCACAGTTGATCTACTGCAATGAATGATATATGTAAGAATGAGACAATTACTATTGCTCCAATGTCCATAAATTAAGTAAACAATTCACAACAACTAAGTAAAATTAAGATAAATATATATTTTACATGAATTGAATACAAACTAAAAATTAATATATCTCATTGGGAAGAACAATGACAATACACATAATATTCATTTTAACAATTATAAGTATACTACTTTGGAAAATAGAATGAAATATCAGTTTACAGAAGCAAAAAAAAAAACTATCTAGTAAAACTACATCTACATTGATAAATAAATCATTTCTGGAGAGACTTTGCGTAACATTACGTTCCTTTATCACCCTTCTTTTTCACCATAAACAAGAGACCATAAAAAAATCACCTATTACAAAACCCTCATCACTCAAGAAACAGACAAGAAGGCTTTGACCCATAAAGCAAGTCCTAAGCATATGAGACTACTGGCTGGCAAATCTCTCATTGACAACCATACGCTTGTAGTAGGTAATTGTCAATATATGCATAAGTTTTGTCTCAGATGTAGTCTCCTAGTTCCTACTTTAGAAAATGCTGATAAAGCCTCTCTTCCTGTTACACAGTAGTAAGTATAAATACAACCAAAAGTACCTGATTTTGAGCTTCAGCAGAAGCGGATTCCACAAAAGAAGTTGACTTAAAGTTGGTCTTTACTAAAATAATAAAAAAATTGTTAGTTCATTTTGGCAGTACACTAAATTAAATGTTGGTATAATAATACATTTAATTTAAATTAGCAATTTCATTCTCTTTGTGAAATACACATGACATTTCAGTTGAATAGACTACTATAATTGATTTATCTCAGGTCACAGGAGACAAAAGGGCCTTAGACCTCTAGGATAAAACAAACTTTCAGTCTTAGTTTCTTTTATGATACTGACTTGTGTATTGCACTGGTGAGCCTGAGTAACCATGCCTCGATCACTAAGTGTATGTTCAAACAAGAGCAGATAAAAGTCTTAGTCAGACTGTGCCTTAACTGTTCCATAAGACAACCTAAATATTTCCCTGCTGAAGGAAACAGTCTGGCATAAAGGGAGTTATGTCAAAGGACTTCAGCCTCCATTTCAGTCCATCCCTTTCATCTATTACAAGTAAACAGAGTTGTGATTTAAGTTTATTTTTTTTTAATATTTAAACAATTTTGAAAAGTTAACTGGCTTCAAGTCTGAGTGAGCTGTTGTCAGAATCTTAAAATGATCAAACTCAAATGAGTAAAATTTAAAAATAAGTGAGGTATTTGCAAACTTTAGGTAGCCACCATAATTATTTTTTCCTCTCATTCTTTTTATGGGACACAGAAGGAAAACTCTGACAGAGACAAACCTTAAAAATAAGAAAAATACAAAACAGGAGGAGGGCCAACATCTGATCATTGCCATAAAAAAAGTCTTTATGTGGTTAAAATCTCACTGCTGATTTGCCATTTCAGAAAGTCAAAAAGGAATCCAGCAAAAAATTATACATCAGTATTTAAAGCCGTAATCATGTGACTATTTTCTCACTCTTGATTGGCTGGTGCTGACAGATCTATGGGGTTCTCCAATGCCATTTGTTTCTCTGCATCCATTGCTGCCACCATGTGGCTGAAGATGGAGTCTGGTTCGGAGAGAAGTTTTGCTGGTGTATCATACTCCACAACCTGAAATATATGTCCAAATCTATCAGATCAAATCAACAGAGGTAGGTATACAGACAACTATTTAAATAGTTACATTTTGTAAAGTGGCAAAGCCTTTTTACGCTTTTCGTTTCACTACAAAATATACAATTGATGGAAAAAACTGCAAAAATAGAAGATGCAGTAGTGATTACAACTCTATCTTGGCATTTAAGTTGCTTAAAACGTTTTAAATAAAAAAAATTAAAAATAACTAAACACATTTCAGATACACCTGACCAAATACACCATATTATCTACATTTCATAAAATCAGTATAATTACAGTACTAATGCTGTATTGTGTACCGTTAACAACTGTGTGTAAACATGAGCACATGCAAATGTCTCATTGTGTGTGCATGTCTGTCTGAGAGAGAAAGAGAGAGAGAGAGAGAGATAGATAGATAGAGAGAGATGGGTGTGTGTGTGTGTGTGTGTGTGTGTGTGTGTGAGTGAGTAAGTGTAGGAAAGATATTTGGGGGCAATGCTACCTTTCCATCATCCAGCACCATGATCTTATCACATCCTAGCACAGTGTTCAGTCTGTGTGCTATGGTCAGCATGGTGCAGTCTTCAAATGCCTCCTTAATAGTCTCCTGGATCAGTGCATCTGTCTCTGTGTCTATGGCCGCTGTAGCCTCATCCAGCATCAGAATCTGAAGAAATTACATAATATTTTAAATTATTTTTAATTTTGTCACAAGCTAGTTACCATGTTAGATTATTGATTCCCAACCAAATAGTTACTTTGTTTGGCAGGAAATGTATAAAATACATAATGTATTAAAATATGAATTCAAACTAAATTTTAATGAGACTTCTGCAATTATTTCTAAAAACAAAATTTTGCATGCTTTTACCATGATCACTTTTCTTAAACAAAATTAATATATTCTGATGAGTGTTACAAAATAGGAGCAATGATCCTCAAAGATTATCAATAACACTTCCTCAATGTAAGATTTCTCATTTAAAGAACACATCATGTTTTTAGAAATATTTTTAGTACACATAATGGCACTAAAATGCCTAATATTATATGCATTTTTTATGACAGACTCCCATTGTTTTCACATATTTTTTTAATGTCAGATTTTATAAATATTTAGCATGTTAGACAGTTAATCTGATTAGACTGTGCAGTACCTTGCTATGGCGTAGCAGAGCTCTAGCCATACATATCAACTGTCTCTCACCCACTGAGAAATTCTCTCCATTCTCCACCACTGGAGCTTCCAGTTGGCCTTCCAGCTCTTTTATCTGAAAAATAGACATCAAACAAATCAATTACCACTTGTTTGTTTTTCAACTTTCAGTGGTATCACATCAATTGGTGTATACACTGTTACATGTACGTAGCATATGGGCACTTTTGAGATAGACGTCCAACTTTCTCTAGATATCTTCCCTTGCACTCCTCATCATGCACAACTACATGTACAGTAGTTTCCCACAGTATTTCTCAAGATCTCTCTGGCAGTTAATGAAGTTAATGTTCTCTAATTGCAATACCTTGACTAACTTTTGAAAAGTAGATTTTATCCAAATGATGAACCATTCCTTTGCTGACTTAAGAAAATGAGAAGTATTTTTGGCTAAAATTTTCCAGTTACCCTGTATATGACTTAAAATTAATATCCGACTGTGATCCAACATAACCCTGGAGCATATTTACCGTGTCCTTGACATGGCACTTCTCTATGGCTTCCCACAGTTCCTGGTCAGTGTGCTGTTGGAATGGGTCCAAATTATATCTGGAGATGAAAAAAAGTGTTCTATATCAAAATGACATACCAACAGAAAAAAAAAATGTTCTACTTCTTTTATATTTTCACTCTAATACTGAAATAATATTGTTACATTTTCTTAAATGCACATTGATAATTCTGGATTGGTGGGTGTTGTAAAAAAAAACTTTCAGTTAAAAAAATTATAATAAACCAAAATTAAAATAAAAACTTAATTACAATAGCATTAGAACTTGAAAAACAGTTGATATAATAATTTTCTTTTTTAATGGTTTTATTTGAGCCCAGCAAGCATACCTTGGTGAAAAAATTACTGAAATTTTCAGAATA